CCGGGCACCATCTAGTTAGGCTGGAAATCTTTATGAAAACAGACTGCCACATTTTTCTCCCATGAAGTGGCTGGTGGGTTTGAACTACGGACCTTTCAGTTAGCTGAGTGGTTAACCACTGTGCCACCAGGGTTCCTATTGCCATTATTACAGAGAGCTAAACTAAGACATTAGAAGACAAATTGAATTCAGTAGATAGTTTCTCTTCTTGCAGTCTTACAATTTTACATGCATTATATATGTTTTAAGAAACATAAAGTATATACTCATTGAATATTGAAATAATATAGAAGTACATAAAGTAAAAAGTAAAAGATCTCTCTCTGCTTCTTAAAGGTAGCTGCTGTTAGTCCTTTTTCTATACATATACTAATACTGCTCCATAATTATTTATAAAAAGTAACTCATACTATATATGCTGTTTGGTGTATACTGCCTAAGGCATTTGACTGCTAACCAGAAGCCTGGCAGTTCAAACCCAAGGAGGGGTCATTATGAGTTGGAACCAACTCTGCAGCTGTGAGTTTGGTTTTTATATATGTTGTTTGACAGCTTCCTTTTTTGTTGTTGTTGTCAGAACATGTAGATATACCACTTTTTTTCACAACTACATGTTATTCCAGAATACAGAATGTATGTACCGTAATTTAATGAACTATTACTTATTTGTAAATATGTAAATTACTTCAGTATTTCATTCAAGTAAAGTGCAGTAAATATCTTTATACTTTGAATACATCTGTGAGTAGTTCTGTCAGAATTCTAGAAGTGTGGTTGTTGGTCCAAAGTTTATGTATATTTATATTTCAATAGGTATTCCAGATTGTGCCCCAAAGATAACTGTACCAATTTATGCCCCATTAATAATATCTGATGACTTTTTTCTGTGTACCTTTGACAGAGTGGATTATCAGTCTTCTTAATTTTGCCATTTTAAAAGGTGAAAAACAAATAGTATCTTACTTGCATTTCCATGATTACTAGTGCAATTACACATTTTTCTTGAGTTTATTAGATATTTGCATTTCTTTTGTGACTTGGCTGTTTATACTCTGTTCTGGTTACCTAATGCCGCTCTGATAAGAATATATACCACAAATGGGATGGCCTTAACAAACAGGAGTTTATTCTTACAATTTGGAGGCTTTAAGTCCCAAGTTCAAAGTGCCAGGCTCTAGGGGCTGGGTGAAAGCCCTCAACCTTGGGTTCCAGCTCTGCTTCCTGCTCTCAGCCCACTGGAGCTAGAGGCGTTTCTTCAGACAGCTGCTGGCTGCTGAGGCTGAGAAGCCCCAAGGTTGACAAGTAAAAAGGCACAGTCCCGATGTTACCAAACCACACGGCAGGCCATTAACTTAGGTCCATTGTAAGTCCCAAGGTTGACAGAGCATAGTAGGCTGCTGAGCAATGACGTGGCTACACGCAGGGTCCAAGCGTGCCATAGGCTAGAGACCATTCTCAAAGCTTCTGCTTATATACAGGAAGCAGACCACATACCCAAAGGCACTACTCAACTGCTCACAGTAGATTCCACCATGGAGTTGATTACCAGTCTCATCAAGGGGAATACTACATCCAGCTGCCCAGCCACTCAACCAGGCCTAGCCAAGTTGACACACAAACATAACCACCACATATATGCACTGTTTTCCTTTTGAGTAGTTTTGAAACCCCTTCTCCAGTACATCACTTAGTTTATTTAAATAATTTTTTATGTCATTAAAAATAATAGGAGCCCTGGTGGCACAGTGCTCAGCTGCTTCCCGAAAGATCAGCAGCTCAAACCCACCAGCTGTTCTGTGGGAGAAAGATGTGGCAGTCTGCTTTTGTAAAGATTTACAGTCTTAGAAACCCTATGGGGCATTTCTACTCTGTCCTACAGGGTTGCTATGAGTTGGAATCAACTCAGTGACAGTGGGTTGGTTTGGTTTGGTTAGAAATAATGCTTGATTGTAATCTTCATGAATTTAACACATATACAGGCATGTGTAGCTTAATGTCCTTGATACGTTTTATGAAATAGTATGTTATGTGATTTGGATGTTGTGTGAACACTATATTATTATATACAGGCAGTCCCCATACAATCTGTAGTTCAATCCCCATAAAGCCTATTACATTAAAACCTTATGGGAGCCCACCCGATAAAGCATGACACAGGAGGCTGGCCTTGCCACCTGTGCAGCTGGACTTAGGTGGGAGCTTGACAAGCAGCCAGATGGCCACTTTGCACATGTTCGAGTGTGAGGGTGGGGCAGGGGCGATGGGGTGGGGAGGCTGTGGGAACCAGGTGTGCAGGTGCTGAGAGCATGACAGGTAGTGACTGCCCTGTTGTTACGGCCGTTTCCTGATCATGTGCAGCCCTGCCGTTGAGCTGCCATCGCAGCCCAGAGTGGGAAACTCACAAGCACCTTGGGCTTGGTCAGCTGCCAGCGCCCCTGGCAAGAGCAGAGCAGCTGAGGCAGGTGCTGCCCTGTGCCAGGAATGAAAGGCTTCGTGACTGCTGGGAGGACGAATAAAACTAGGAGGAGGGGAAGAGGAGGCAGAGGAGGTACAGAGATTGGCAGGTGCCCAAGAGCCCCCACATCTTGTTCATTCTAGGGTTGTGAGCTCTTTAAAACCATTAAGGGGAAATAAACAAAAAGGAGAGCTGCTGTCCCTTTAGGGAAATAAAAAACAACAAGAACACCTTATGGGATCTCAGAAGTATATGTGGTTGGATGTTGCCTGAACGGATGTTAAGTGGTGAATACCTGTGTGGAAAAGAATAAAATGGGCAAGCCCAGCCTCCTGTATCACACTTTATCTGGTGGGCTCCCAAGGTTTTAATGTAATAGACTTTATGGGAATTTAACTACAGATTGTATGGGGACTGCCTGTATGTAATGATATAGTGTTCACACAACATCCAAAAGAATAAAACGTTTTTACCAAAACGGGTGTATGGGTAAAAAAAAAAATGTCAAAAGATCTCACATTTTAAAAATAGGTAGTCCTCAACTTAAAACAAACCTGCACTCCATCTTTTTTTTTTTCCTGTTGCATCTTCTCATGTGTACTACATACAGTATTGCAGCATATAATAAGCTGTTACCATTCTTATGCCAATCCCCAAAGACAGTGGCCACATTTATAAAGATACTGATAATAAAATGCAATAATGAAAACCACAAAAGGAAAAATGAGGTAATTGACTTACGTCAGAACTGACTTGGGCCAGGGTCCTCACATCAGAACCCTGTCCTAAGTCAGGGACTACCTGTAATCGTCTGCTATGATTTGTTAAAACGTGTATAGCTAAGGTTTTCCTTTGTTAATTTTCTAGGAGGAAATAGAAATGTTCAACTAGTTTGTTCTGAAAGTGGCCCCAATTCCAAGAATAATCCTAAAAATACAAAAAAGAATCCTGTGGATCTTCCCAAATGTGATACTGGCTGTGTTGAGACCTTGTTTGGCCTAAAGAACATTTTTTTCCCATCTGAAGATGTGCTTTCATTTTTAAAGGTATTTTTAATGTCTACTTGGAATGTTAAATTTATGTTCTGTTTTGTCTTCTCAACACTCACTTCTGTCTTTCAGAGCATAAGGTTAACTGAGATTTGCCTATAATTTTTATAGGTAGTAATTGTTTTATTTAAACAACCACTTTGAGAAATGGTGCATAGGCATTGCTCTCAATGCATATCATCAGATATAGAATAGAATTTAGAAATATTTCAGATAAAAAAGACAATTTCAGGAAAGTAATTTAAAAAATGATTCTCTAATTATTAATCTAACGGTTTTCTATGCTAAATGTTGTTAGGTGCCACTGAGTTGGCTCCAACTCATAATGACCCTGTGTACAACAGAACAAATTTTGCCCAGCCCTGCACCATTCTAAATATTAGGGAATTTGATTCTTAAAATAATGGTGTAAATTAATTTTTAAAATTTATATACTGTTTTGATTTATAAAGGAGTACACGTATGAAGCACAGTGACTCAGTATTTTGAAGATAGAATAGGGATTCTTATTCATATGGATAGAAAAATGTGCAAACTATGTACTGTTATAACATTTTTACTCAAAATTATTTTTCAGCACAAAGCTACAACAAAGGAAGAGTGGCATAAACTCATCCAGCTTCTTATGGAATTCCAAACACAGAATGTAGATTTTTTATATAGCAATCTTGAGTTTATTCTTCCATTACCAGTTGATATCATTCCAGAAACAGAAGACCTCTGTGGCTTATCAGTAACTGTGGGTGTCAGTCAAGCAATGAAAAGTATGAGATGTCTTGCTAAGAACTCTGAGGGAGAGCAGCCACTGAAAAAGTCGCAAAAAAAGAAACATAAGAAGAAGATGGTCATACTAGATGATAGTGATTTATTTGACACTGAGTTGGACTTTTCTCATGAACGTATTAACCTGTCCTCGGCCTCTGTTTCAAGTTCAGAAGAACGAAAAGCCAGAGACAAAGAAAGCACACCAGAGACAAAGAAACTAAACAAATGCTTCGAATCTAACATTGATTCCATTTCTCGTCCTCCTAAAACACTAGCCGAAAAAAAATGTTCTGCCCTTGTTTCCCATTGTTTAAATTCTCTCACTGAGTTCATGGATAACATGTCTTTCTTAAATGCTCTTATAAATGATGTAAGAGAACAAAAGGAATTTGGTAAAAATGACTTCAGTTGGACTAATGGGAAGGTTAAAAATGGACTTTGTGATGAGTTTAGTGTTGAGAGCAGTGATGGCTGGCCTTCTCAATTCTCTGGAGAATTAAAGGCAGTTGTAGAAGCTCTCAGCTTTATCAAGTGCTCTTCTGCCATTTCAAAAGCTTTGGAAACCTCTTTGAATTCTTGCAAGAAACTAGGAAGAGATCCAACCAAAGATCTTACTTTCTGTGTTTCACAACAGCGCAACAATGTATACTTCAGTCAATCCGCAGCTAATTCAGAGTAAGCTGTGTTTTCACTTTACTCTTTTTAAATAATAGTAACAGGCCAGTGGTTTAGTTTCTCTCATTTCTACTAATTTTGAAATACTGGCCTTTATTGATCTTGGTAAGCCCTAAATATTAATGATGAAACGTCTAGTAAGACAGCAAGGAGACTAGCCTAGCCTGATTGCTGGGAAAGAGAAATAATGACGTCAGGGTGGGCTGGATTTTAGAAACTCTTGAGTGATAGGGAGAGGGGTTTGGATTTGCCCTGGCTGGCAGATTGGGTAGTCATTGAAGATTTTTTAATATGGGAGTGAGCAATGTGTTAAAAATGATAAAAGAGATTAATCTGGAAGTACTGTCCAGGCTAGACCAGAGGCAGGGAAACTGATTGTTTTTTAGAACTGTCCATTTTAAAATAAAGTATTGTATTTCTTTCAATTTACAGCAATGCCTGGAAGAGGATGGCAGTCATTAAAAGTGTCTTTTCTAGTCGATCTCTTCTTAACCTGGGTAATAGACAAGCTAGTATAATTGAATACTTGCCAGCTCTTCGAAACATTTGTAGAACTGAGAAGCTAAAAGAACAAGGAAAAAGTAAAAGAAGGTAAGTTTCGTTTAACAATAATGTTTTAGGAAGCTGTTTCAAGATTAATATTTTCATCTATATTAAATTGTATTTTTCCTTGTTATTTTGATAGGTTTCTACATTATTTGGAAGGAATTCATCTGGATATTCCTAAGGAGACTATGAACACTTTGGCAGCTGACTTCCCTTAGTATTCAACGTTAATTATGCCTTCTACAGATTATGTCATTCTTAATACATGTTTTTATATTATGTTGATTTTTATGGAAGAGCTTAAGTTGCTTTAATGTACATCTGAAACAGACCATGTGTATATATTTTTTTTTTATTAGTGTGCATATATTTAAAATGAAAAAATTTGAGTTACATGTTGTATATACGATTGTGGTAGTATTTTTTTTGGGAGGGGTGGAATTTTTGTATTATCTGATTTAACTTTGTTGGAATATTTTTACATGTGAATGATTTGTGCCTAGAAAGTAGAGTTCACTAAGATATTTCAATGCTAAACTAATTTTCTTTTACCTACTCCTGTCCAAGTATTGGTGCTCTGTTGAATTGTAAATACCAATCAGCTAGATGGTAACCTTTTTAAAATTAGTTTACAAAATACAGAATGTCATATGTATACATAAGGAAACTTCCTATGAAGAAAATTATGGTTTTCAAAAAGTAAGATCTTTCTGATAAATTTTTTAGTGTATTGCACCAGCATATGTTATCATTGAATGTTGACAAAGTAAAATCAAGATTGTGAATTATAATTTTTATAAATATTTTTAGCAACTATACATATATGATATCTTGTATATTTTGCCAACTCAGATAATTTGTCTTGTACATTTTCTTGTATTTTTATATCATTAACATTTTATTTCATAAAGATATTAATGATGTTAATGTATCTGCTTTGGACAAACTGCTATGCATTAAAACTAACAAAAGAAATTCCACTATAGGATTTCTACAAAATCACCACTTCCACTTCAGGCTGATGTTTTGGGGGAAAAATGTATTTTTAATTACAATGTTTTAAAATATCATATTTCACTTAAAATTATTTTGCAATCAGATAATCAGGTGTATCTTAAAATAGTTCCCTATTTCAAGTGTTTATATTATATATTAGTTTAATATTCAGATACATTAGCTGGTGTATTATATTTTTAATTCAAAAGGTAAGTATCTAATTTTGTACATTTTTGAAAAAAATATAATTATACCCGTTTTTGAATGTGTATGAAGATACGTTTTTGTCTCTTATCTATTCACCCTACTTTTTTTGTATTAATTAGTTTATTGATCTAATTAAAAGTTAAAGCTAAAAAGGCTTTATGCAATATTTAAATAGGAGTTCTGCTGTAATCATCTGGGTAAATAATAACGTATATTACAGGTTTGGATATGTGCTTTATCTCATAGGTTTCATCCCTATACAGAAGAGAGAATAAGATCTTTTGAAGCATACTTTTTAAGTATAGTGATTTATTTTTCTTACTAAATACAAGAGTTCCTCTATTTATAGACCATTTAACTGTTAATTCAGTCTTTTATTGTTAGAAATTTTTGACCATTTTCAGTAATTGAAGAGCCAAAATAAAGTAACTCCATAGGATTCATATTTAAACTCAAAACTGGATGTCCATTTGCAGAAAAATGAAACAAGATCCTTACCTCACACCATACACAGAAACCAACTCAAGATCGATTAAAGTCCTAAATATAAAACCTAAAATGATAAAGATCATCAAAGAAATAATATGAACAAAATTAAGGGTCCTAATTTATGGCATAAATAGTCTATCAAACAACCAAAAATGTACAAACAGCAGAAGATGATTTAGACAGCTAGGACCTCCTAAAAATTAAACACTTTTGTGCGTCAAAAACCTCCAAAAGAGTAAAAAGAGAACCTACAAAATGGGAAAAAAAAATTTGGCAACGACATATCTGACAAGAAACTAGTCTCTAAAATTTATAGAGAACATCAACACCTCAACAACAAAAGGACAATCCAATTAAAAAATGGGGTGAAAATGAACAGACACTTCACCCAAAGAAGACATTCAGGCAGCCAACAAACACATGAAGAAATGCTCAGGATCATTAGCTATTACAGAAATGCGTATCAAAACAACAGTGAGATATCATCTTATACCAGCAATAATAACAAAGCTCAAAAGACAGAAAACAACAAATACTGATGAAGGTGTGGAGAGACTGGAACTCTCATACACTGCTGTTGAGAATGTAAAAATGGTACAACCATTGTGGAAATGGTATGGCACTTCCTTAAAAAGTTGGAAACAAAAATATCATTGGATCCAGCAATCCCACTACTTCGTAGAGAAATTAGAGCCAGGACATGAACTGATAATATGCACACTCATGTTTATTGCAGCATTATTCAAAATAGCAAAAAGATGGAAACCACCTAAGTGCCCATCAACAGAGGACTAGATCAACTATGATACATATACACAATGGAATCCCATGCAATGTTAAAAAATGATGATGAATCTGTGAAAAACTTCATAATGTGGATCAACCTGGAGGACATTATGCTGAGTAGAAACAAGTGAATCACAAAAGGACAAATATTATATGAGACTACAATTATAAAAAGTCAAGGAAAAGTTTACACACAGATGTTACCAATAAGAGGGGAGGATAGGGCAAGGAAAATCACTAACTGAATTGAAGAACATATTGATTTGGGTGAAACAAAAGACAATATACAATAAGGAGATCAGCACAACAGGAAGACACTGAGAGGGACACAAAAATTACAGACAACAAAGGTAATTACTATTACATGCATAGTCCTACAATATCAGTAATAAAAATATGAGTGGATACATAGGCAGACATGCAAGCTAACACATGGTTAGGTGAACAGGACTATCCCTATAAGCATACATAGGTTTGGCAGAGAATATTTCCACATACATATTTGTGTTTATTATAAATATATCCATGTATCTAGTAGAGTAAATGGGGGGCAAAATTATGAAAACTTAGTCATAACCAAACACCTTTGTGGAAATGAGTCACTGAGCATGGGGGCTTAGGACCAGTCTTAGGGGACAACTAGGTCAACTGGCATAACAGTTCACAAAAATGATGTGCTATACCCTATCGTGGTAAGTGACTAGTGTCTTAAAAGCTAGTGAGCAGCCATCTAAGAGGCAGCTATTGGTCTCTCCCTGTTTGGGGTAAAGAAGAGTGAAGAAAATCAAAAGACTCAAGGAAACAATTATTCCAAAGGCCAAATGGATCATGCATGTGAAACAGCCTCCACTAGCCTGAGACTAGAAGAACTGAATGGTGCTCAGCTATGACTATCAACTGCTGTGATTGGGACCACAAATATCCTGGACATAAGGGGAGAAAAATGTAGAACAAAATTTAAAACCATAAAAGTGACCAGACTTGATGGTCTGATAAAGACTGATGGAACCCTTGAGACCGTGGCCCTTAGATACCCTTCAAACCTGGAACTGAACCCACCTCTGGAGATCACCCAAACGACAGGCCTATAAAGTGAACAGTAACACTCATGAGGAACGTACTCCTCAGAACAATTAATCATACAAGAACAAAAGGGCAGCATATGCCCTCCTTAAAAACTCAGAAGGCAGGAAAGGACGAATGGAAATGAGGAACCCAGGGAAGAAGTGGGAAGAGTGCTGTTACATTGAGGTAACTGCAACTAATGTTACAGAGATTTTCCTCTCTACTAGGGGACATATTTAATTTTTTAGGTTTAGTATAATTGATCATACTGGGGGGGCAGATGGCATTCTTAAAGGTGACAAATACCTGTAAGATATAGGTACACTTTTTTTTTTTCCTTTAAATTCTGTTTTGTTGTAAATATGCATAGCAATTGAAACCTGCAGTTTCTACATGTATAATTCAGCAACACTGATTACACTCTTCAAGTTGTACAACCATTCTCCCCTTCCCCCTCTGAGTTGTTCATCCCTCATTAACGTACACTCACTGACTGCCCTTGTCCCCCAAGGTTCCTATCCAGTTCTTCAAGTTGCTGTTGTCAGTTTGACCCCTTATGTATAGTTCTTAAAAGAGCATGATGTTGAAGGCAGACTTTTTTTTTTTTAATTGTGATTTGGGTGAAAATTTACAGAGCAAATTCACTTTCCATATAGCAGTTCACATACACTTTGTCTCATGACATTTGACTACAATTTACCACAATGCAACAGCTCCCCTCCCACTTCTTCCCCATAGTTAATCTCTTCCCTGTGTCCATCCCTCCATGCACTCCTGCCCCCAGCTGTCTCCCTGTGCATACACAGCCCTTCTTTCTCCCATGATTGTTCTCTCTAAGGAGTTTATCTACCTCAGGTAAATGTTCAATTCATATGCCTGTCTTTTGTTTGGCTGGAAGCCACAGGTGTGGGTTCAATTCCAGACCTGAAGGGCAGCTAGGGGCCATAGTCTCAGTGGTTCCACCAGGCTCTATCAGACCAGCAAACCTGGTCCCCCCCTTTTTTTTTTTCTCCAAATGATTTTGAGTTTTGTTCCGCATTGTTCTCCCTCTCTATTAAGGATCTCCTACATAGATGCCCCTCTGAGTACTTGACAGTGGTAGCTGGGCACCATCCAGTTCTTCTGGTCTCATAGTCACATAGGCTGTGGATCACATGGTGTACCAGTCGCTAGGACAAATTGTTTCCATGAATCTTAGGTTTTCTTCATTCTTTGCTCTGGACAAGGAGAGACCCATCGATGCATTTAGATGGCTGCTTGCAAGCTTTTAAGATCCCAGTCACTACTCAGCAAAGTAGGAAGTGGAACAATATTTTGTGTACTATGTTATGCCAGTTGAGCTTGATGTCCCCTGCGACTATGGTCCCAAGCCCACAGATTCGACTACTCAGTCCCTCTGGGTAGCTGGCTGTGACCAAGAAGTGACTACAACCTTGCAGCTTGAGGCAGACCTTTTTTTACTAGTTAAACTACTGTTCAGTTTAAGGTTTAAATATTATCTCAGGGCAATAGTTACAGGGGTAATTTAGATTCACTTTTATGATAAAAGTAACCAAATCTTGATGCCTTTCAGTATTTCCTATCTTATTCTATAAATGTCCACAATTGATAAATATTCACTTATAGCTCATCCAGAAATATGTGGGAGACAGAATGCCACATTTCTGGCATGAACAACTGGATGGTTGGTTGTTCTGGTTACCTAGTACTGCTCTGACAAGAATATACCACAAATGAGATGGCTTGAACAAACAAGTTTATTCTCTTAGAGCTTAGAGGCTTTAAGTCTGAGTTCAAAGTGCTGGGCTCTAGGGGCTGGGTAAGAGCCCCTCAACCTTGGGCTTCAGCTCTGCCTCCTGCTTTTTTCTTCACTCAGACAGCTACTGGCTGTGGAGACTGACAAGCCCAAGGTTGACAAGTAAAAAGGCACAGTCCCGATGTTCCCAAATCACATGGCAGGCCATTAATTCAAGTCCATCGGAAGTCCCAAGGTCGGCACATCATGGCAGGCTGCTGAATAACAATGGCTGCATACAGGTTCAAGCCTGCTGTAAGCTAGAGACTGGTTTACTCCTTATATACAGGAAGCAGACCACATCCCTAAGGCAGGTACTTAGCTGCTCACGGTAGATTCCAGCATAGAGTTGACTAACAGTCGTATCATGGGGAATACTACATCCAGCTGCCCAGCCACTCAACCAGGCCCAGCCAAGTTGATACACAAACTTAACTACCACATTGTTGAACCTATTTACCAAAATAGAAATCAGTGGTAAGAGAAGTAGTTTTGGAAGGATAGACAATGATTTCCTTTTCAGATATACATACTTTGAGATACCTACAACATAACCAAGGTGAAGATGTTTATGTATATACACTCTGTTTATGTACAGATTTACATGTGCATGACAACGAATCTAGAATTAAACTCCTAGCGAGTTGGAGGTGATAGTGAAGGGAGGAACTCGTTTTCTTTATGTACTTCTAATTATTTACATTTTTCCCAACAAGCCTATTTTACTTTTAAAAAAATGTTTTAGGTGAAACTTCACAGAACAAGTTAGTTTCCCATTCGATAATTTGTACATAAAGTGTTGTATGGCATTGGTTGCACTCCCCACAATGTGTCAGCACTCTCTCTCCATTTCCACCCTGGGTTACTCATTTCCTTTAATCCGAATTTTCTACCCCTCCTGCCTTCTCATCTTTGCTTTTAGGCAAATGTTGCATTTTTTTCTCTCCCTTTAGGTCCCACCACCACCACCAATGTTATCCTTTTTATATCAGATAATTGTTGTTCTAATGAACACATTTCTCTCAGGTGTTGTTTATTTAATGGCCCCATCTATTATTTGGCTGAAAGGTGGTCTCCAGGAATGGTTTCAGTTCCAGGTCAGAAGGGTGTCTTAGGGTTCCTCTACTGTCAGACCAGTAAGTCTGGTCTTTTTTGTGAATTTGATTTTTTGTTCTACAATTTTCTCCTCTGTCGTGACTCCAGTTATAGTGGGCAGTAGGTTGGCAGTGGTAACTGGACACCATCTAGTTCTGGCCTTGGGGTCCTGCAGGCTGTGGTTTGTGTGGTCCACTAGTCCTTTGGACTAATTGCACCTTTGTGTCTGGTTTTCTTCATGCTCTTTTGCTCTGGACAGGAAGAGATCTACAGTTCTATCTTAGATGGCCACTTGCAAAAGCAGGATGCAGAGCATTATCTCTATGGACTTTGTTGTGCCAATTGACATAGACGTAGAGCCTAGGAACTTCACCGCATGAGGTGTTTGGTTATGTCTAAGTTTCCATGACTGTTTCCCGTGTGTGCTCTATTGTCTGTACTAATTTGCAGCACCTACAGTTATGCATGTAGAAATACCCACAACCAAACCTGTATGTGCAAGTGGGTATGCTCCCTTACACCTCCCACACCTCTTTAGCACACCTATCTACCCTATGTAACCATTCATAATTTTTTTTTCAGGATTTTTTATGTCATAGTAATTACCGTAGTTGCCCTTTATTCTTACATTTCCGTCTTCCTTTGCTTTAGTCATGTTGTGCTGACTTCCCCCGTATTGTGTATTGCCTTTCCCTTCACCATTCCTAACATATACCTTCTATCTAGTTAGTAATTTTCCCTCTTTCTCTCTCATACCTGGTAACCATCTAACATTTTGTGTGTGTGTGTAAACTTTTCCTTGGCTTTTTAAATAATAGTGGTCTCATACAATATTTGTCTTTTTGTGACCGATTTATTTTACTAAGCATTGTGTCCTCCAAATTCATCCATGTTGTGAGTTTTGTAGATGTGTCTTTGTCATACAGTATTCCATTGTGTATGTACCGCAGTGTGTTTATCCATTTATCCAATGATCACCACTTGTTTCCATCTTTCTGTTATTGTGAATAATGCTATAATGAACATGGGTGTGAATATGTCTATCCATGTCACAGCTCTTATTTCTTTAGGGCATATACACCTAAGGAGCTCTGGTGGTGTAGTGCCTAAGGCATTTGACTGCTAACCAGCAGGCTGGCAGTTCAAACCCACCAGCCACTCCTTGGAAGGCAGGTTGGGCAATCTACTTCCGCAGTGATACCACCTCGGAAACCCAAGGAGGGGTCACTATGAGTGGAATTGGACTCAACAGCAATGAGTTTGGTTTTACATACACCTAAGAGTGAGACTACTGGATCATATGGTACTCTCAGCTTAAGAAAGTGCCACACCATTTTCCACAGTAGTTGTACCGTTTTACATTTCACCGGCAGTATTTATAAGAGTTCCAGTCTCCTTACAACCTCGCCAACATTTGTTACTTTTTGGGTTGTTTGTTCTATTACTGCTGTTACTGTCAGGGAGAAATGATATCTCATTGTAGTTTTGATTTGCATCTCTAATGACTAATGTTCACCAGCATTTCTTCATGTATAAAAAAGAGGTGATGTCATATTACATGGAAGTACCTGACACCTAATTAGCTATATTAACTATTATTATTGTTATTGTATTATAATTACTATTTGTATCAGAGATGAATAACCCAGGCCTACCCTTACATTGTATAACATGACAGTCAAAGCCCTAGATGGGTTTTGAACAGCTGAGTGATTCCAGATTTTCACTCTTGTAGCAGTGTGAGTACTGATTGGAGGGTGAAAATGGAGGCTGGGAGACCACTTAGAGAATACTCCAATAGTACAGATGAGACATGGCTATGAGGGCCTGAACTAAGGCAGACAATAGAAAATGCAAAGGTGTGGGGGAAAATTATGTTATTTGTATCAAAAGAGAGTATGTCAAGTAATAAATTTCAAAGTAAAAAAAAAAGAACTAATAAGACAAGTTCTGGGCTTGACAAACTGAGCTGATAAAAATCACCTTTTGAAGATGATTTTACACATTATCAATTATCTTTAGTGTTTAGATATAATGAGTGCCACCTAGAAAAGTCACTATTCCCTTTTTTAACAATATGATAACGATACAACTCTTCAGTATAGACAGTATTTGCTTTTAAGAGGGAAGAACTTTGTTTCTTGTTTTGGCTGTTTTGGGAGCATTTTATTGTTCAACACTTAAACCTAACAGACACAGAATCTGAGAAAATATTTATTGACTTGGCCTTGGCTTAGTATTATTGTACATACACAATTCAATAGCCTAGTCTGACTTTAAACATCTAAAATATACTCAAACTTGTTTTCTCATGCATTAACACAGATGTCCAAAAACAATTTGTTTTACAGCATTAGTGGTAATTATAAATTCATATAACTTTAGAGCAGATGTTACATTAACCTCAGAATTTTAAGGCCCATTATGAAAAACTACTAATTCATAGAAGGCAACAGCTTGTAATAACGAATCATATAACTCTTCTACTCTGTTCTGCTCAGTAGATGAAAACATCTGCCTGTACTGGACCACTTTATCCGGTGGGAAGAATACTCGAGGCTCTGCCTTCAGTACCGACTCTGAGAGAAGCTGCTTCACTAGCTCTTTCCCGCTGGTCCTTGTGTCCCCGATCATAAGTTCAAAGTGCTTCCCCACTGCATTTCGGTGCATGCTCAGCACCTGGTGCTGGCCATCCCTGGCAAATGTTTTATTTAATAAAGTATAGAGCATGGCTTCCACAATATGAAAATGTAACAGTATAGGAAACAGTGATGAGTTCTGAACTGGAAGTCCTGTTTTTTCCAGAATATAGAGATCAGCCTTAGGCATCTTTGAAATGACTGAAGACATCTTTAAAAAAAAAAGAAAAAAAAAAGCAGAAATAGTTCATGAAGTTTTAATCTTTGCGTCCTCTCTCTATTTGGAAACATTATAATTATATAGTTTATGTTCTATTGACAATACTGGCATAACTGAAAAAAGACATATAGAAGAGTCAGAAGAAGTAAGTTCTGCTCATGGTTTTATCAGGAACAAGCTGAGCTCAGGCAGCTGTGTGGTCCTCCTACCCACCAGTTTCTTCACCTATAAAATGGGCTTCATGATTTCTGAAATCCATTTTGGCTTTAAGAATAGATAAACTGTTTCATTAATCTTTTAAAAATGTCTAGGGTTGAGTACAGGATTAGAATGACTAGCCTAGCATCAATCAACTCTATAATAGATAAATCGTATCAGAAGACTGATGGCACCAGTTTTCACAAGTGTAACCCAAATGATGATTCCTGCCCATTTCATAGAGTTCTGAAGACTCTACTGATAATATATGTGACAGCACTGTAAAAAATTAAGCTTTAATAAATATAAGATAGTGTGGATGTTCTAAAACATTTAGAACAGTATACTTCACCACAGAACTAAGTGAAAAAGATTCCATTTTAAAAGATCACAGGCAACAAGATGAGTTGTAAGTACCAACAGAAAATCCATCCTTAGTACCTTATTCCATTCCTTTTGAGGCTAGAAGATTAAACTACTCAAAGAGAACTAGGAGACAGGAATTTGGAGGTGCACCTGTCTTACCTCTTCTAAATAGACAGATGTCAGATATGTCCCTTTCATCATTCTGCAACTTTCATCTTGTTGCCAGTCCAGCACGGTCATTTTACGATCCAGGTGAGCCCAGGAAATTCTTCGAGTACCAAAAACAATAGATAGGATACTATTAACTGCCTAAAACAAAAAAGCTGGTTTAATTAGAAGTGTAAACATTTCAACGGATACAAAGTTTAAGCTATAATCTCAGAATGCCTAATCAGCTTACGTAATATAAACATATTTGCAATATATAAACTGAAAATTATTTTTAAAATATGCAGGAGTTCCACAACCTACGTTGGTGAGTAGCGACTGGGGTCTTAAAAGCTTTCAAGTGGCCATCTAAGGTGCAGCTATTGGTCTCCTATCGTTGGAAGAGAAGAGTACAAAAAAAAAAAAAAAAACCATGGACATTTGGAAGCAATCAGCTCTAGGACATGATGGACCTCAAGACTAGAAGAACTAGATGGTGCCCAGCTACCAATGCCAACCACTCAGGAAAGGATCAAAACTGGAGATCCTGGATAGAGTGGGAAGAAAAACGTGGAACAAAATCCAAAAAAACAATAATGACCAGAATTACTGGTCATATGGGCTCTGGTGGGACCCCCAATACTATGGCCCTGGGATATACTTCAGACCTGGAATAAAACTCATTCCCAGGGGCTGGCCTCTTAGTCTACTAGTAAATAAGATGTACACGCAGACCATTCAACCGAGGGTGATGCACCCACATACTCTATGGAGATGCATTCCTTGGAGCAACTGACCACAGAGCATCAGAGGGGCAACATTTGCACAGAGGAAATGCAGGATGCACAGGAGTGCATAACTATGAGGAGCATGGGGTGTGGTTTACTGGGCAGGGAGGGGAGGAGAATGGGTTAGGGTTGGGGATGATAACTGGGGAATGAAACCAAATATACACAAAATGTTGAATGTAAAATAAAGTCTGCTCTGTAAACTTGCACCTAAAGCATAATAAAAAATAAAATACCAAACCAAACCAGACTCACTGCCATCAAGTCAAATCCGACTCATAGTGACCCCTCGTTAGGTTTCTGATGCAGTATCACTACGGAAGTAGATTGCCTAATCTTCCTTCAGAGGACTGGCTGGTGCGTTTGAACCACCAGCCTTCTGGTTAGCAATATGTATTACTAAAAGGTAGCCAGTAGGACTCAGTTTATTGACAAAGAACCTTTTACTCATTCTCAACACCTAGCACAAAGTACGCATTCAAGTATTCAAATGTTCCAGGGATCATGCTAGATAATGGGGAACAAGGAACATAAACATACATCGTAAGAAATGCTATCAGACAACAGTTACTGTAGAGAGAAGGAGCAGTCAGGAAAAACTTATTGCAGGACTAAGAGAATGGGTAAAATGGTAAACAGGAAGTTATTTCACCCAGATGTCTGCGAAGACATAGGTTATCTGATACCTCACAGGCAGGCAGTAAAGGCTCAACTGGGAAAAGGGCAGAAAGGTAAGCAGATTTCTACAAAGTTAAGTAACTTGCTTTATCTTCAGAGCTCCCAGGTGCCACTGAAGCATATAACTTTGGGGTGTAATGTAAGATTTACATTTCAGAAAGATCCCTGGCAGCTGTGATTAGGAGCTAGACCAGAGGAGATTTGTGTTAGGTACCTGCTGTAAAATAAGACAAAGTATTAAGAACCTAAGACAGGGACAGCGATGAAGGAAAGAAACATCATGGAAGTAGAACTGATATTCAGGCATGAGGGAGGAGCCTAGGACAATGCTTTAGGTTGATTTCTATGACTGGACGGAGTAATTAAGATGATGATAGGAAGGAGGCCAACTTGGGAAGGTTGGGGGAGATGAGGTGTTTTTAAATGTCTTGAGTCAAGGTTACCTATAAGGCTTCCAGGACCCTGGGTGGTGCAAGCAATTTGCACTCCACTACTAACCAAGAGGTTGGCACCCAACACCACCATGGAATGAAGGCCTGGCCATAAAGATAACAGCTAAGAGAAACCACATGGAGTCAGCAGAAATCAGAATCTATTTGAGGGCAATGGTTTGGTTTTTGGTTTTATATGACTTCTAAGGGGAGATGTATAATAGATAACCAGATACGTGGTTGGAGGTACAGTATAGTGGTATCAGCTAACTCCCACATGACTCATTTAGTTATATCAATCAATAAATTATTAATATGTTCTATAGATACAGTGTGAGCTATGGTGGCATAGTGCCTAAGGTATTTGACTGCTAACCAGAAGGCTGGAGGTTAAAACCCACCAGCCACTCCACAGAAGGAAGGTGGGCAATCTACTTCCATAGTGGTACCGCCTCAGAAACGGAAGGAGGGGTCAGTACCAGTGGGATCTGACTTGATGGCAGTGAAGCAGAAACATTTTATAATTGTATACCCACTTCCCTTTTACTGGTTTTAAAGGTTCCTTTCTTTAGCTTTCAAGCTTTAGTATGCAAAGAATTATTGTAACAGATTGTACACAAAACAATGTACATAGTCCCTCATGATTTTTCTTAAGGATTTGGACTACACATTTTTTCCACACAGATTTTAGAACTTGGCCCCCTAAATAAGATGCAACTCCACTGTAATCTGAGTATTAGTAGTGTTAGGCATGAGTTTGGATGAAAATCATCCCTGGAAAATCTGGTTCAAGTATGTTCAAGATCAATTAGGAGTAGAAGTTCTAACCAGAGTCCACGGATGAACTTAAAGGAATGTACAAGTCCTCTGAAAGTACATGCAAAATTCTGTGTATGTGCTACACTTTTTTTTCTATGACGAGCATCTACAGCTTTCATAAGGTTTTTAAAAAGTATATTTCCCAAAAGCTACTTACTAATCCAGAAAATCATTAGTTCAGAAAAAATGGTGATTATTGATACACAGGACTTAAGTTCCTGCCACATTTAATGTGTAACTGATGATCCAAGTAATTTTAATATTTAGTTTTTTCAGGGAACACTGAAAAAGATTTGGTTTTTCAACTTTTTTAAAAAAAGGAAGGGGGTTAGAAAATCATTTTATATCCTGCTGGGAACGATTATATAATGTTTTAAGACTCATAAATTGTTCATAATCATGATTTAACATATTGTCTAATCACAGACAGAATCCAAACTTCTTGTCTATAACCCACCTTTACATCTTAATTTTTCATTACTCTTCAACATAACCCTCAGCCAGGTATTCCTCCCAGATGAACCTTGCACAGACCTACTTCTGGACACCAACTATTCTTTCTATCTAGAATGTCCTTTTCCAACTAGCCTGATTCTCTTCCTCAAGATCCAGGTTGACTTCTTCCAATAAAATTTTCTCAACCATCATAGTTCTCTATCCTTTAACCCGTCAATTTACTGCCTGTACGCCCCATTATTAGGGTGATCACATACTACTTTGTATGTTACTTATTCACATGTTTATGTTTGGACCCACCAATTAAACTATAAGCTGCCTGAAGGACTCTGTCTTGGTAACTCCCCAACCCAATACCCAGAAAAGTGCTTTGCAGAGTAGGCTCTCAAATATTTAGCCAATGTAAGAGATACTAAGGAAAATGGTATACCTTAAGCCTCCCTATTCCTATGTCTGGTTTGATGAGCTTTCCCAAGAGCCGGCTTTCCTGTAATTTTCTTTTTTTCCTTCCAGTCTCTGGACAAAGAATGGAGTTACAAACTTGAATGGCTGTTTTATACTGGAACAAGGGCACATTCATTAAACTTTCCAAATTCCGAAATGGTCCAAACTTTTCTCTGTGCTCTACAATATTGATGGACCTTCTTCCACGAAGCAATTTGAAAGTTCCAAGTTCGTTATCTGACGCTGTGTTCAACACATGCAAGATGGAAGCCTGCTGTTCCGAAGAGAAGAGTTTGTCAAGTGCATTTCCAGACTCCTTTGTATTTTCACCACAAAAAGCAACGTTGGGGATAATTTTCTCAGGTGCAGTGGATTTTTCCCGACAGCAGGAATTATGTAGGGACTGGAATAGGGATGATCCCAATGGAACTGGAAAGCACCTCCACCTCACTAAAAGAAAAATGTAGCAAAATAAAATACAAAAAGTTCAGATGTCCTACATCCTTTTAATACTAGTTGTAGACTTGACCACTCGCAAAGTGACAGAGACTCCCATAGTTCAAGAACTAGTGGGCCATACTAAATTCTGGAAAATCAGCTTTAAAATAGGTTTAGTTTTTAAACTATGTCTTTTTAAAATGGGGTTTTTGGTGTCTTTTTGTTTGTTTGTTTGTTCAGTCACTAGAGATGTCTTCTGATTTTTGTGGATCAGTCCTTAATTTTATTACCTAGAAATTTTATGTCCATGTTGTTGTTGTTGTTGTTGTTATTTGCCATCGAGTCGGCCCCGACTCATAGCCTTAGTCAAGTGCCTTAGGCACTATGCTACCAGAGCTCCCATGTCCATGTAGAAGCATGTAAATATATATATACATTTCAATGGCTTAGCGTTTTTGATACCATTTTAACTTTACAGGGACCTTTCTGTAATTCATATCTCATTAAGAATATTTATCTTCACTTTCCTTTTCACTACAGCTTCTTATCTGGTAGAACCTGAGACAAAGTTTATGCATGTATGAGAAACGTTTAGAATACTGAAAAATCAGTGGTATATTTAAGGGTGGTTCTTACTTTCTTGTGTACACTTTTCAAACTTTCTACCGTAAGTAGAAAGTTTCCCAGCCTGGAAAGGAGCCGTCCTCGTACCCCCTGCCCACGCAAGCACAACTCTTCCAACCTCGAGGACCAAAGCCGCCCGGTCAATTCAGGCAGGCCTCCAGAGGATGACGTGGGCAGTGGGACCTGAAGGCGGAAACAATCTAGAATCAGGGACTAAGGACAGACGGGAAAATAACCCAGTATTAAACGTATCCTACCTCTTGCCAAAAGAAGACTAGGAAAATTCATCCTGTAAGTCTTATCAGTAAGTTCCCGCGGTCTTTCCTCCACTGACTTCCGGTCCCTGTGAGCCTCCTAAAAGTGCCCGGACGGGAATCGGCGGAAAGGTTCCGGTTAAAACTGTGTTCCGAGACTGGGCAGTAATGCACCCAGGTGGATAGTGAATCCGCCGCGGCTCGGCATCTGGCCGCCGATCCTTCACTCCTGGGTGGTCAGTGGGCTTCTTCCACTGCAACGGGGAAAATGTTCGTCCCGACCGGTCCCTGACAATAGCTGGGCAGGTGGGTGTGAGAGCGGCTGGCCCGAGTCCCTGGGAAGGAAACCCTTAGACCAGTTTTAGCCCGTAGCTTGCAGGGTTCTGATCCTTGGGAGATACTCCCTCGGTTTGTTCTAGGTACAGAGATTGATGAGCTCCCTTTGGGGTCCAGGCTGAGGCGCAAGGAGCGGGGGCTGGTGGAGGAGAGGAGACAAATTCACATATAACCCTATCACTGGATAGGATGGAATAGCTGAGAGGATGCAAAGTGTTTCTGGAGCTCAGCAGGGAAACAGTGCTGGCAGAGGGGCAGGTCAGGGCAGCGTAGATAGAGGTGGCATTGGCCCTGGACGAGCAATATTCCATTTGGAATGGAGGGAGCGAGATAAGGCTGGCACCAAATTTGGGTTGGACTTTGGGTTGTCCAAATTTGGAGCAATTGAATAACTTCCATCAGGTGCCCAAAACCACCGAGACTTTTGAGTTAGAAGGTCAGACTGGAGGTGTGTTTCCAGAAAGTGATCATATAGCAATGTGGTTCAGGGTTGGAGGTGAAGAGCCCGGGTTGGAGTCGAAGAGCCCGGGAGTAAGGAGAGGAGAGGAAAGCTGGCGCACCTTCTCAAGGGAGAGGCAATGGTAAAAATTGAACCTGGAAGGTGTGAGGAGGGTGGAAAGAAAGGGATTCCTTCTGGAAGATAAAGAGGCTTTTGCTAGCTTTGGAAGAAACAAGGAAGTCAGGAGAGAGTGGCTTTTGAAGGGAAAGGTGATGGGCGGGCTATCAGCGGATATTGTCTGGGAGGAAGTGGCAGATACGAGGAACCCTAAGTACTAGTCAGAATTACTCATAGTAATTCTAGGAATCTTCACAGTTTCTGGGAAATTTAGGAATCAAACAAATAAAAGTTAACTCTGTGCAAAATCCTCAAATGAGGAGGAAATAATTTACTTTTAAAACCAAAGCTTATTCAACATATGAGGCCATAAGGAGCCCTAGCGGTGCTCTCAGAAATCTAGGGGTTAGCTGGCAAAGTGCAGCTTATCACAAACCACACCGCCTTGGGCAATTACTCATCCCTGTGAACTTCAGCTTCTTCATTTGAAAGTGACGTAACAGCAGGAAGATTAAAGAGAAATTGGAAGCAGAGAGCTGGGCTCTTAGTAAGGGTTCAATAAGTGTTCCTACCCAGCATTGTGCGCTGCTGCTTAGAGCTCAGCCAAGCTCAGAAACACTGGAGTGGAGGTCAGAACATCTCTCCCTTTGCCTTTAAAAACCAATTCCCATTCACCTAAATCACAATTTAAATAATAATAATAAACCCAACTGCCATGGACTCCAACTCAAGTGACCCTGTATGTATCAGTGTAGAACTGTCTCCGCAGGGTTTTCAATGGCTGATTTTTCAGAAGTGGATCACCAGGCCTTTCCTCTGAGGTGCCTCTGGCTGGACTTGCACCTCCCTTTTGGTCAACAGCCAAGCACTCCGTTCGCATCACCTAGGGAGTTCTAATAAGTGTCAGTTCCTCCATTAAAGCTTCACCTCTTATTGGAAGCAAGTAACTTTTTTTTTTTCAAACCAAAAGATACCATATATTTAGCAATCATTCTTAATGCAGAAGCATAAATGAAAAGGATGAATCCAGAAGTTGCCCCAATATATGTTCCCTTTGATCAGTTCATGGAAAAATTTCAAACTTGACATGGTAGAATGCTAGCGAACCTCGGTCCGTATCTGTGCCATCACACGGGTGACTCTGCGTAGACCTACTGTGGTTCTTCTCCAATGTCTCCTCGTGGAGTCATACCTACACAGAAGGAAATTCAAGTTACAAAGACAGTCTGACCTCAAATTAGCTGTTCTTATTCACCAAACTTTGCCTTTTAGGTACCACAAAATCATTTGAAATTTCCCTCTTTTTCCCTTCTTTAACAAATTGGAGCTCTTTCCAGAGAAAAGATGTGTTAGATGTGTTTATGAACTAGTCAAGCTAATTTCTCACCTCTCAAAATGATCCAAGGATAGGGGGCGGGAAAAAACAAACAAACAAAAAAAAAACCCAACCCACAAACCACTGGTTCTTGATTGGGGCTTGAATAGTGGGGAAGTTCTATCCTTCCCAGGCATACACTCAACTGTTGATTCAGTGGACCCAGGGTAGACTCAGACACATGTATTTTAAACCCCTCTCCTCTCTGAACTATGGCAAAGTCTCAACAGGTCACACACCCATCAAAGCTCCTACACAATTCTTATATAGATTAACACCCTCATTCATTCCAATCCCAGAACAGTAGTGATTTGCAGAGCTAAAGCGATCTCAGAATTGTGCATGTTAACTGTCAGGATTTTACCCTCATCAGGGTAAAACCAAAGATGATCAACACAGCTTTTCTTTCATAAGGATAATGTCAGTGCTTCCACAAACTGAAGCACGGTAATTCCAATCTGCTTTGGGAGCTAATAATTAATGCCCTTGTGGGAAAGGTTCCTCAGTCCTCGGTGCATTCATGCAGTAGTATTCTTTGACCAGAGGCTGGAATTAGTAGGAAAAGAGACAGCCACCATGTGTGATTTACTGTGAACAAGAATCGGGCATTCAAAATGAAAGTCGTCATCTTCCCTTTGGAAACCAGCTCCTAACTTCCCTGTTTTTATCACCCAGGCTCCTCCCACATCTTACTTCAGTATGTCTAGCCTGTAGTCTAGTTTCCATGATTTTAAAACATTTTTTTGACTGTGACCTGTGGTCACATGATTTGACATGTTTGTGTGGACAAAATCTTCATAAAACAATACCTGTGTTTTTACACAACCCATCCATATGCTGCCTACAAGAGACACACCTTAGAGATAATGACAAAAACAGACTAAAAATCAAAGGTTGGAAAAAGATATATCAAGCAA